ATACACACATACTCTGAGTGTGTTCAATTCTTAACATTTTTACTGAGATGTAGGTTAAGTAACAGAGACAATTAAATAAATGTCTTTTATATATTTTTTACCATTGGTTTCTCCTATGCAAAACTTCATGTTTATGAATGTCTAAAGATATATGCTGATGATTAAATTTATATTAAACACATACACAAAACATTACTATATTTTTCCTATGTATGTAAATGCATGGGTATAATCTGAAAGGATGCATGCTTAATTGATAACAGTGAATACCTCTGGAGAAGTAGGTCTGGGAACAGGATTGAGCTAATGTTCTAAAAGGACTTTAGCTTTATCTACAATATATAGTATATTCATTATTTTAATAAAATAATTTTTTAAATGAAGATGTTTAATGTGGTTTTTCTTCTTTGCAAAATAGAATTGCTAACAGTATTAGACATACCCATCAACTGGGTCCCTGTAATCTCATATCACTAATTGTGACCTTGGTCACCCAGTAGATGATATATAGACTCTTCTTACCACAAAGAAATGGACATGATAGAGATTTGTTCCACATGAGGCTTCCCTCATATATAGATAATGGCCAAGACAAATAATTGACCCACGTAGCTCTTAAGGCTCTGTTCAGAGTTTTGTTATGCTATGCCCAGGACCAGGGCAAACACTGGACATGCAAAGATGCATGAAAGTGATCTTGTCCTTAAGGAAAGGCGGAGAGAATGGGCAGACATAAATTAAAGAATGAAGATAAAGTAAGAGAAAAGCTAATGGAAATCTGAGCCAAGTCCCTGGGAAACACAGAGAATGGGGTAATGAATGATGCTGAGGACCAAGATGAAGAAGAAATCAGAGCAATTGTTTGACATTTAAGTGGATTCTTCCCCCCCCCCCAGTTCCAGAATTCCCTCTTTTTTCTTTATTGATTAAGGTATTACATATGTGTCCTTATCTCCCCATGCCCCCCCCACTCATGCCCTCACCCCCCCTGGTGTCTGTGTCCATTGGTTTAAGTGGATTCTTAAAGCAAAGTAGATGAGTGCTAGATGCACAGAAGATAATGGGCAGAATTATTAAACTCCCTAATCAAAGACTGCCAGGGGAACCTATTGATGGTCCAAAGCTGGGTGTGTACATATTGAGGAAGGCAGAGCACAACTATTGTGGCATCTCTAAAAGGAGGAGTCAGGGAAGGTCACTCAGAGGCTGCAGTTAATCATCAGATGGTCTTTGGTGATAGTAAGTATGGTCTGGGCAGAAGTTGGTCAGCATTTGTAAATGAGGTGAACTGGAAGAGCCATTTGTCCTTTCTATAGAACATAGGAGTCTGCAGGGTTAGTTATTAGTTTATCTGAGGTCTTACTTGGAAGATGTGCATCAGAAGGAGCTAGGGTTCAATCACTTTGATCTTTAATAGTGTGTGTGGCACGTTGTGCTTCAGTGCAGTTGTTCTGTTTTGTGAGGCAGGATGCATTTTTCAAGCTGCATTTCTGTTTCATTTCTCAGGATCCATTTGTGCACATGTACAGGGCACAAAAGGCCATAGCCTGATTATAAGTGTTGCGTGAAAATAATTACTGAGATTGGATGTCAGCTCTAAGGCCAGGCAGTGATAGATGTTTTTCTGTTCCTCGTTGCCTAGCAGGTCCCTGGGACTTTATTGGCAGTGGGACCATCCAGGGCTTCAGTGTGTGGCAGGAGAGCAAGAACAAATCTGTGAGCGCTCTGATGTCAGAGCCAGAGAAGTGTGTCCAAACAGGTTGTCAAAGCAGGGAAAGCCTGAGATGAGGATGTTGAGCCAGTGTAAGAAAGAACAAAGAATAAGTTGAACAAGTGAGATTCCTAGTGATGTGCTTGCATGTAATACCAGAGGCCAAGAAGTCTATTAAAAACCCATACACCAGATAAGAACTAAATGGTCTCTGGAGTCCTTTCCATATCCAAAACTTAATGTATTCAAAGGATAAAGGACAAAGGATAAAAGAACAAGATAGAACAGATGGACATAAGAGAAAGAGGCGATCATAAAATACATACAATTTTATCAAGAATGGCTTTTATCCACTCATTGCAACATCCCCTTGATGAGTGGTCATGTGCCCTTTCCATGAACTACTTTGAAAGGGGTCCTATACTACTTGAGAATGTTTCCATTTGTGTGTGGACAGTTTTAATATCACCAGGGGCGAAACTGGATCACCTGTAATTTCTGCTGGTTATTTCTGCCTCAGGCACTATACAGCGTATATCTTATCTTCCACACAAAAGAGACCGGCAAATTTTTGAAGGAAGTGCCCAATTTTATCATCTCACCAGTGTTCCTTATTTCTGGCTAAAATTTATTTAAAAATTTTCTTTCCATTTTCATTCTGATAGTTTCTTATTATATACACAGAAATAAATTATAAACATACATATAATTTTTTATTTTCTATAGTTTGGATATTGATAGATATTTTTAAACAGTTAATAACCTTTTTTCATTTTAGAATAGCATTAGATTCCTAAGGAAAGTTGCAGTAAAATTACAGAGTTGCCATTCACCACACACCTAGTTTTTCCTGTAGTTAACATTATTATGGTAGATTTGTTATAGCTAATGAACCAGTAAAGTCCACACTTTACTCATATTTCCTTAGTTCTTACCTAATGTCAAAAAGTTCACATGCCAGTTTTCTGACCTTTATAATCCTGGTCAAAGTTCTCTTTAAATGCCCAGAAATAAACATGATTCTCCAGAAATAATGTAGCTAGGGCAGATCTCTGATAAGAACTAAATAGTGAACAAAAATAGAAAGGGAAGGGTTGGGAAACCCCAAGGACAGATGTGAGGTCAACATCTAGGAGGCTGTTTCTTAAAAGCTTCACACTTCTCATTGGTTAACTTATTTAATCTTCCCCAACAAGCAAGGAGATAAGTGCTGTCATCATCTCCATCTTTAGAGAGGCTCAGAGGGATTACTTAACCTTCCCAGGGTCACACAGAACCTTCCAATCCAGGTGTCTCTGACTCAGAAGCTCAGTGTACCTCTCACTAGTATATATTTTTTTCTTTCTTTTATTATTTTTTTGTTTTTCTTTTACTAGTATATTAAAAAAAAACAAAAACAAAAAACACATGCCATGTCTGCTATCCATGAACCACTAATTGCTCAGACAAGATGGCAACACGAGGGGCATTTAGCCATCCTCTGCAGGTGGGTTCACCTATTTTAAAAAACATTTTAGTTCCTACGATGTGGCAGAAATGGCTGCATTTTGCAGGAGGGAGCCAAACCGGTTTCGGCTATTTTTTCTTTCTTTTATTATTTTTTTTGTTTTTCTTTTACTAGTATATTTTTTTTAAATATATTTTATTGATTTTTTACAGAGAGGAAGGGAGAGGGATAGAGAATTAGAAACATCGATCAGCTGCCTCCTGCACACCCCCTACTGGGGATGTGCCAGCAACCAAGGTACGTGCCCTTGACTGGAATCGAACCCAGGACCCTTCAGTCCATAGGCTGACGCTCTATCCACTGAGCCAAACCAGTCAGGGCTTACTAGTATATTAAAAAAAAACAAAAACATGCCATGTCTGCTATCCATGAACCACTAATTGCTCAGACAAGATGGCAACACGAGGGGCATTTAGCCATCCTCTGCAGGTGGGTTCACCTATTTTAAAAAACATTTTAGTTCCTACGATGTGGCAGAAATGGCTACATTTTGCAGGAGGGACTTTGGAAAGAAAAGAAGGGCAAATTGGGGGACCGGGCTCCAGCTAGTAACCAGGCTTCCAAGAACAATAAATGCTGGAAAACTTGTTTCATCATGTGATTGGAATTGGCAATAAAGAGGAACTATAATTAGGAAACCAATAGTACCCAAGTCCATAAATGTGCAATTTGTACTTCTATTTAAGGTGAACAGGACATTTATCAGGGTTCAGAGGTAAATGGGTGACTCTTAGGAACCTCAAGGTTAAAAACCACTGGTTCACTAACTAGATTCTATGTGGTTGAGAAACTATGAAGAAAGTCCTTTCTTAAATCTTTTGATATAAATTGCCCATTTAATTGCTCATGTAAAGTGATTGTGATACGATAAGCATGTAGTGATGATCACAGCCACCGTTTATTATGCCTCTGATACTGAGAGCCAATCTCTGCCTTAAGTGCTTGACATTCTCTCATTTAATCTTCAAAGACCGTGAGGGAGCTATCCTAATCACCATTCCACAAAGAGTGAGCTGAAGCTTAGAAAGATGAAGCACTCATTGTTAGTAATTTAGTATTGAGCCAAGGTCTGAGGCTGGTCTGTCTGACTCCTGGATGGGGAGGAATAGGGTGCACTTTACCTGCTCCAACAGAAGCCGTATGAGTTGGGGAAAGTGTGATGAGTGGCTGATCTTGACCAGGTCCACCCCCTGGGTTTTGGAAATAAAGGTGTCCTTCAGAGATGAAACAGACAGAAATGTTCAACTAGTCCTGGGATGTACCAATGTGTTGTGTTATGAGGGTCCCATGGTCCAGGTGCCAGGCTAGAACTTTAGGCAAAGAAGCTAAGCCTCACCTATGAGTGGATTGATGAGTTTGATATGGTTTATTCCAATAAACTTATGATACCGTTTTTTCAAAGTAATAGGGAAACCTGCTAGATACATCCAGGTATGAGGAAATAAGCGTTACCTACCCACGCAGGTAGGGGGAATGTGAGAAAGATTGGGGAGATGGAGACATAAATACAGGGAGAAGAAGGAGGACAAGCCTGGTGGTTGTCTTCTGAAACCACAGGGTGTTGTCTTCCTGCACGAAATAATGATAATAAACATTTTTTGAGTACTTACAAGATGCATGCATTTATGTGAGCACTTCACAACTCTACCAAGTAGGTGCTATGTACATGAGAGAGGCTCCCAGAGGTGAAGGAATTCTCATAAAGTCACTCAGGTTTGTCTGACTCAAAAGCTAAGAATGTATTGTATTTCTTAATCCATGTATGTATCACCTATTGTTCAGGCTGACGTCTCTCAAGCCCTTCTCAAAGAAGGCACGGAGGCAAAGAAAGGTGTGGAGAGAAGGGTCGTGGATGATCTGAAATAGAGTGTTTCTGGATAGGGCTCTCAGGGAAACCTATACAGGTAATTGTTTAGCTTGTCTATGGGTATGAACTTTGTGTTTTCCTTGCTTATGTTCCTTTGTCTTCAGTCAAGTTTCTTTGGAAAATTCCAGTCTGCTTCTGCTGTACTGAGAGAAACAATGTTCTTTTGTTTATGCTTGAGCCAAAGAGTGAGAACAACACTTTCTCTGTCAGGGGTGGAGGGAAGGATGGAACAGGGTGGCGGTTGGCATGGGGTAACAGTTGATACAAAGTGAGAGAAGCCTAAAAGGGAGACGCTGTGCACAAACACTCCTGGGTCCTTTTCTCCTGTGTGTATTGTGGCAAAAGGGAGGGCAGGGAAAGGGGGCAGGTGCCTTTCCACTTGTGTAGCTGTCGTCTCTTGACTGCAGATGCTCTAGGTGAAACGGGCATCCTGTGGATCATATGGAGGGATCTTTTGGGGAGGTCTCTAGAGGAGCTCATCACTGTTTCTCCTTTTTGGGATACATGAGCCTGGTGTCTTTTAAAGTCCATCAGTTCCTTCTTCTCTCCCCCTTGTTGGGGTCCTCTTGCCCTACAGGTAGTCTTCTTGGGTGGGGTACCCTCAAGATAGCACCAACTTGCTTGTACAATCTTTTTCATTGTACACTTGGCCAGAGAAACTTCCACATCCTTGCCATGCCTGTTGGAAATCTGACTCATTGATAAAACAATTGCGTTGTAATTGACGCACTCATGTTTTACCAGCTAAGCCAAAAACAGTGCCATCTCTGAGAACATCCACTGTTCTGCGTGAGCAAAGAAGCAGGCTGCTCCTCTACTGTCCCCTCTCCTCCTTATCATCACCTCCCAGTTCCTTTTTCTTCTGCTTAAATAGGCACATAGAGTAGATGAACAATTCCAGGGCATAATCCTAACGTCAGCCGGAAAATGGCTCTCTTCTTGCAGGCACTTCCCAAATTTATGAATTGACAGTGGTTCTTTCACTGTTCTCCTCATGCGGCCTGTGGGGGATGGGACAGGAAGAAGCAGGAAAAAGCCTGGTGGAGTAAGGGAGCTCACAATCCTGATACATGATTTTGAATTCTTGGTTTTTTGTGTATAAGCTGCTGGTGACAAGGATGATAGTTGGAGTAGCAAATCTAGCTTTGCTTTTAGCAAATTCTGAGGGCACATATCTGAAGGCTTTCTTCAGAACTGAAGGTGGAAAGTACAGATATCGGCTTTTGCATCTAATGTTCTCAACTTTAGGGTTTGCCCAGCAATCAGGCAACAGGAACAATTTTGTTCAACATTCAATTATGTGCATTACTGCAAAAACAAAGGCACAGAAATGTGCTTTTCTCAATTATAGGGTCAATGTGAGAGTAAAATGAAATAGTGTGAGGGCTAACAGCCATGGTAGCTCTTAAATCAGTGGTAGCCATGAGAGTTCGACAATCCCTAATTTGAAACCTGTAGGGCCAACTGTGTTCCAGAATTCAGAAGTTTGGGGATTTTAAATTTGGTAATTCTACATATTATGTAGCACCTCCAGGGGGTCTGGAGCAAAACCTTCTAATCAAATACATTTATATTTCTGCAGTGAAACATATAAATAAGTGGTTTAAATAAAGACATTAAGTAGTCTAATATCAGGTCTAATGATAACCTGTCCCTATATGTGTTCAGACCAGTATATGGTTTTGGCATCAAATGAGTTGTGATTAAATTGTCAACTTTCAGAGTTCCTAAAATATCAGTTTCAGACACAACATTATGAACTTGAATGGATAATACAAGGTCTTTGTTCAAGGAACTGAAAACTAACAAAACAAGTCACTGGACTACAGTTATCTTCACTGCCAATTCCCAACAATGCATCATTGATCTGGCCCTTTGCAAAATAAACTGCTTCATTTGACCCATTCATGTTTTACGGAGCTAGCCTAAAACAATGCCCTTTCTAAGTGCATCTACCACTCCGGCTAAAGTATTTGGTGTCTAGCAGACAGACCTCTTGGATGGCTATAACAGTATTGAGATTTATTAAATGGTGCCCTGCTGGTTAACAAGCATTCATACAACTCTGAAACATGCCTCTAATTATAACCAGGGAGCGTCGGGCACAAGGCTAAGTTCATTGGGAATTATATCCACCTTAAAGAACATAGAGTACACCTCTTATTATTAGTCCCTTTAAAGTATTGCATTCTGGCTACTATCAGTTGCTTTATATATGCCACGGAATTTGGCCAAGCTCCAGGCAATCAAGGATTCCTTCTACTTTTGAATGGCTCTTTTTTTTTTAAGTTTAAAAAAAGGTAGAATAAAAACTATAAATTTAATCCACAGAGTTCCCAGATTACTTAAGTTTATTATTTAGCTTGAGATATTTACTACCAATTAATTGACTCATTTAAAATAATATACTGTAGAAAGCTTCATGTTGTGCTAAAAATATTTTAATATTAACTTATTAGGGTAACAAGAGTGATATTTTTAGCACAATGTTTAAAGGGTCTTAGAGCTTTAGAATTGAAAGACTATGTTCATAACCTCCACAGATTTGGCATGAAATATAATTTTAAATAAATATTTAGGATGATAAACACTCAATTTAGATTGTTATCCCTGTAGGGAAGGAAATACAATCTCAATTGTATTGAGAAAAACTTATTCTTTAGACTGGATTAAAAGTACATGGGTATTTATTGTTCTTCATATGTTTTGAATGTCTCAAATATTTCATGATAAGTATATATTGCATTAACTCATTTAGGTAAGGGCAAGAGAAGCACAACATATATTTCTATGTTAAATATCTTAAAAATGACCTACTATTTAATCCTCAGCCATCTTCCATGGATTTGCTTCCCGTGTCCTCGGATATTTCTTGAGTATTGAATGCCCTTCATGCTCAAAATTCTTTATAGGAATTAGTTGGTAGACAGAGGGAAAGGCCTGCAGACAAAGTGTCTGTGGAAAATGATTCCATACTGAATGTGAAATTGGACATTTTATTCTTACAGGGAGATTGATAGCGCTGGAGGGACCCCTGGCCTCCTCCAGAGGCCACTGTGATCTCATTTCCGCCTCCTCGGTCCATCTGCTCTTCTACGTCTCCTCCAAGCCTACCTTTACATGATGCAGAAATTGGTCATTGGTCATGCTATCTGCATCTCTTGTGTGCTTCCTTTCTCATGGAAGCTATTGAAGTAAGGCATCATTATTACATGAGAGTGGCCTTTCCCAGAATCCCAGGCTTTTTCCCATGAAACTTTATATGCTGTAAGAACCAGAGTCCACATCAGTCATCCTTAACAAGATGTGGGAACCCAACTATGGGCCTATTTGGCAGGCAGAAAAATCTCCTTCAAAACAAATGGTAAACAAACATTATGAAAATGCTTTTTTAGCATTGGTGACACAAATTTAGGATATTCAACCGTGTCTCATATTAAAATTTTATTCTCTTTTTAGATATCATCCCAGTAATTATATAACATTCCATTATGAGTGTAGTTCAGATAATAAAGGCCTTTGATATCATGTACATAGGTGCTCTGTATAATGCTTGCAATATGAGTGTTCTTAGGATCTTAGAGAAGTATGTTTATTTCTCTGAAGTGAAATGTGCTAAAATTAAGATCTTCAAATAAACTCATGATTTTCAAAATGTGTTGCTTCATGAAGAGGAAACCTAGGTTTTGTTGGTGTTGTTTATCCTTCTGCCTGTGGTCTGCCCTTTGGGGAAATGGGCCGTTCTAAGTCCTTTTGGCACAGTAGCTGTCTCTGCTATTAACCCCCCAAAGAGGTGTGGAAAACACCAGGAGCAGAATCAAGGAAGAATAGGAAATCAAACTCTGGTGAGAGTGTCCAGAACTCACAGTCGGGAGTGTTGTCACATTAAATAGGGTAAAGGAAAGAGACTCAGGGGCTGTGTCCAGCACAGCTCTGGTTTGGTGAATGAAGACAAGACCCTGGTTTTATTGCTTCCATGGACAGTGGTCTGGTCAATTGTTTGTGAATCTGCGTAATGTGTTCTGAGGAGGTTGGACCCACAGCTCTAAAGATCCCAGAGTAAATTCATTTATATTGAAAAAGCAATCCAAAATTATCTCCTTCAAAGGATAGGTTGGTTACATATCTCCAGCAATGAAATACTCAAGCTTGGAACTCCCAAGTACACATTCAGTAATTACACACCAGAGAGGAGACTCCATTCAGGGAAAGCATAATTTATTCGTATTTAAACATTCCTTTACTGTTTGACAATGCAGTGATACCACCAAGGGGTACCAGGGATTTATAAACATTTGTCTTCATGCCATCATGCTGTAGAAAGCAGCCAAAGTGCTCACCTTAGATTCTCTTAGCCCCTTCCGCACAGACAGGGAGGCACACGCATTGTCAACGACACATGTAGAATTAATGTGTCTCATATCGCTTGGCCTCCTGTGAGAAAATCACAGATTTCATGGCTCTTTCAAGCAGTTTCAGGAGACCTGGCAGCTCTTGCAATCTGTAAATGTGGAAACTTCATTAATTCTAATTAAGTGTCAGAAATGAAAATCGAAAACACACAAAGAGGCTTTTCCTTAATAAGGAATGTTAACAACATGTGACCTTAGCTGTGTGACAAAGACAGTACTTGTACTAGAGGCTAAGGTGTGGGGACTGTTGTGGAGAGTATTAAAAGTGCTCTGAAAAGGAAATTTCATTATTTTTAATGATAAGTGTCAGGTGGGAGAAATGGGTAAACTGCTTTTTGTTTTTGCTTTAAATACATTGAATTAAAAAAACCCATAAATATACTACTCTCTTCATAATGAAAATGAAAATTTATAAATCACTCAGAAGATATGATCAATGTAAATAAGCTGGTGATTTAGACACCTTTACTTTTTAGCTTATATTGTCAATCGAATGTCTATCATACAAATCAGATAATTGCTAAATCTCCACCTTAATTTCTTCAGATTAGACACAATGTAAATCATTGATCCAGGCTACAAGGTAATTTTATTATAAATTTAAAAATAGCTTTTAATAAACCAATTAAAGAAGTCTTTGTGTGCGTATTAAACATATATAAAATACTGCCTGGTGTTTTGCTAGAATCACTCTCAAATTGCTCTCAACGCTGTAGACTCCAGAACCTTCTCACTGAACCTGCAGCATCCGCTTTGGGCCTTGCAGTATGGGTGGGAGTTTGAAGATAGTGGGGGTGGTGGCAGCATTCCAGTAGAATGTACGGATGGGAAAATGTGAAACATATTTTAGAAAGTATAGGTCCAGTTTGAGTTGTGGAAGAGGAAGTGGTGAGAGCTGCGGTTGAAAAGTTAGATTGGAATCAGGTGGTGACAGTTCTCGAATGCTATTCTGAGTTGGCACAGGACTCAGAAAGTAGTGGGAGAGAAATTATTAGGTATGTGCATCTAGCCTTGCTCAGCTCTCTCACTCCATAATGTGGTTCTGAGCCAAGGCAAGAATTACTTCTGATATCCAACCTTGATCTGTTTCTTAAGCTGGTTAAAAACAAGACTAACAAGTTGTGTGTGTATTTGGAGAAACTAGAAGCCTGAATCCTTGAGGTCAGGGACCTTGTTCTATTTATTTTGGTATGCTTAGCACCACACTTAAATTTGGCATGTGATTATACTGCTTATTAACTGTTCATTCTGGTTTTTATCTTCTCAATCATTATGTAGAAAACAATAAAGGTAGGACCACACCCCATATATTGCCTTATTTTTCGTAATTGTATTTTTAAATTACAAAAAGACACTGAACATGTATAACTAACCAAACACAATGTGTTGTATTGGACCTTGGCTTGAAAAAAAAAAAAAGGTACAAAAGGTATTCCTGGGATATTTGGAGAAATTTGAATATGATCTAGGTAGATGAGAATATTATGAAATTATTACTCATTCTCTTGGTGCCTATAACTAACTTTCAAATGTTCAGCAACATGAACGGAAATAAAGCAAACATATCAAAATGTTACTAATTTTTGAATCTGGGTGGATGATATGTAAGTATTCATTTTACTATTCTTTTCCTTTCCTAAATGTTTGAAATTATTCATAGTAAAAAGTTGGGAAAGCTTTTAATTTGAAAAATATACTCCAGTCAGTGTTCTTGGTTTCTAATAAATAAACCAACTCAGGCTAACTTAGGGGGAAAAAAGTCTTTATTAAAGAGATAGTGGGTAGCTCACAGACTCTTTGGGAAGGCTTGAAAATCATACTGCCCTACAGGTCTTACGAAGAGCTCCTTGCCTGCCCTAGTGATGTCACAGCTGGTTCAGCTAACCCCACCTGGGTGCTGCAATTTCTGATATGTCTTCCTCCGGAGTTGGGCTATAGCTGCCAGCCAGCTGCTGCCTCTCCTGGGCCAGATAAGCCCCTGACTCATGTAGCCCATGCCCTGACCACAAGGGACTATGGGAAAGCACGTAGCTTGTATTTCAGTTTCTAGTTTCTAGAGTGGAATGCTTTGCCTGCTTCATAAGGTGAGGAATTATCCAGGAATAGCAAAAGTGGTTCAGATGTGTTGGCCAAGAACAATAACAAAATTCAACTGCTTCTCCAATGGAAATAGATGTCTATATTATTAAAGGTAAAAGTTATACTTCCCAGAGGAAGTCACAGTTTGACATGCAGGCATGGGTGTGTGTATGTATCTATTGAAAGTATTGATAACATATATAGATTCTTTACATAACAATAATGATGGTAGTAGCTAATGTGTACAGAACAATTTCTGTGTACCAGATACCACTTTAATATATTTTTATATGAATTAAAGTAATGCTCACAATAACCCTATAAGATAGATACAAACATTACTATTTTTGTTTTTCTATGAGGAAACTGAAGTTCCAAAGGTTAAGTAAATATTTAAACTATGCAAGTTCTCAGAGCTAGTAAGTGGTGCAGCCAGGATTATGAATCCAAATAGAGACTGTGCTCTTTAATGACAGCCTCTCTGATAATTATTGTTCTATTGTTTTGTGTATTCACATATCAGTATATTGGAGAAGGTGAAGACATAAGGCAGTAACAGCTGGAAGGAAATACAGATCAAGGGAATTTTAAAAAAATTACTTAAGAATCTTGAACAATGTTGAAAAGACACTGGGAAAAATCCAGTGGAGATGGAGGGCTTGAATATATGATGATACAGGATTCCTGAGAAGGTGGGAGGGGATGGGATCTGTGGGAATAAAACCACATTTCAGCCTAAAACTTTGATTCCACCTTTGTTAAAATTAAAACTTTTAATATTTCCTCGAAATAACTTTTATTAATTAAAAAAACCCCACATTGTGACTCAAAAAATAAAGGTATGTGATGAGAAACACAGAGGAAAGAAAGAACCTTATTGACATTAAGTGCCTAAAGAATTCAAAGTACTGTGTTGGCTATTACTCTTCTCAATAAGATAAGGAAGAGAGGTTGGATAATATGTACATTCCAGTGACCTCTCAGTTGCACAAGAACACTCTTAGGAGCCAGGTGGGGCAAAGGTCTTACTAAAGTATAAACCTCTGCAGGCTCGGTTTCTTTTTTGTTGTTGTTAATCTTCACCCAAGGATATTTTTGTTATGCCCAGATTTCAGGATCCCCAAGAAACCACATCAGGGAGCCAGCCAGTCCGATGCAAAAGCATAAGAGTCTTTATTCGAGCTAGCTCGGCTCCCCCACCTTGCCGACGCAGCGACAGGAAGCAGAGAGAGATAACTCTGTGTGGAGACGGGTTATATAGGGGGAGTTGGAGGAAGGGGAGGAGAAAGGACTGTGCTCTGCCGATTGGCCAGGCACAAGTCTGTGTCTTGTTCCTGGGTGTGGCTAGCAGAGGCTTAGACTTCCGGGAAGAAGCTCCTTGCCAAGCACGTGGCCAAGGTAAGATGGAGCACTTACCCTGGGGCAAGGTGGAGGGCGTAGCCCTTACCCTGAGGCAAGGTGGAGGGCCTAGCCCTCGCCCTTTCAATTTTTCCATTGATTTTTAAGGAGAATGGAAGAGAGAGGGATTCATTTATTTTCTTACCTTTGCTGTCATACGTTATAATAGAGAAACGATGTCTTTTAGATATTTTTCCAATCAAAATACAGGATAAGTGGTAAGTTAGGCCAACTGCCTAGAAACTACTTGAAATTGTCATTGCTTCAGAAATGTCATGGGATACTGAGGGATTTATTTTGCAATAATTCTTTGACCAGATCTATGATCTCTTATTCACTATTTTGAAATCCAAAACCTTTGATCAAATGTGTGTTTTTTTAACATTTGGTGGCAAAACCTCTTCTGACCCAAATTCATCTGTCCATAAAACATGACCTGGAACCATGGTCAAGTGGCAAAACCTAAAATAAGACACTGTGCTGCCTCAGACCTTGTGGAAGGTTGTATAACATAAAGTATACTTTTCTAAGGTCTGAAAAATTCAGACTCCTGAAATCCATTTGGCTCAAAGGTTTCATATAAGGGATTATGGATCTATATGTCTTATAGCCATT